CAGAGAATTTCAGCTGTTAGCAGCTTACGGATTTTAATTTAAGGTACTGAACTGCAGGTAGGATCCTTAATATTCTTTTGAGTCTGGGCGATGAAACTTCCTGAATTTCAAGAGAGCGATCTACATCTCCTAGCCTCTGCTCCCTACAGCACCTACATTCCTCCCAGGAAATGTGGATTTTTTTAAATTTTTTTAAGTCTTCCCCAATGTGGACCCAGAGGCAGTAGCTGAGTCAGGCATCTGGACACCTCATTTCTTTGCTGGAGCAGTCGAAGGCACCCCTCTGATCAAGTCTTCTGGGACACAGTCTGCTGGGCTTCATGCTGTGGGAAGATACCTTGGGACCTGAGCGGTCCTTGTGTCTGGATTGCCCTCATGGCTGTGGGAACACGATTTCATGGTTCCTGTGAAAATAAGAGAAAAACCTGGCCAAGTGATGAAGCTCTGTGGGGAAAATAAAAAGTAAGCTAAATTAACTGCTGTTTACCCATGGATGGCAGAGGCTACCTGCTGCCTAGCAGCTCTGTTCTCAGAAGAACCCACATAAACTGGCTGTGCACCATCCTCTGCTACGTCTCCCTACAGTTGCTGCCTCTGGCTGATAAAAGTTTGGGGGTGTCAGAAACAGCAGTTGAAGCCAGGAGATCCCAGTGGCTTCTTTTTATTACCATTCAGCAAGGTAAAAAAGAAGCAAACAATACCCTGGGAAATCAGAGGCATGAGGAGTGAGTGAGGCAAGAGTTGGAAACTCAAAAGAAGAGAAACAGAAATGGGGACAGAATCCAGGAAAGGATGTGGAGATTGAATAGCAGAGAAGTGAGACAGAAGTTGGGATGGAGCAGTCGAGAGCAAAGTCTTTATTATTCTCCTGTAAAGTAGATAGTGATGTCATCCCCATTTTACATTGGAGGAATGGAGACGCAGAAACCAGGTTAAGACTGTCGGGATTGCCCACTAACTGTAAATATTTGACCTTGTGCAATCCCTGGTCTAATTTTCCAGGGCACTGAGCATTTTTAGACTAATATAACATACCAGTCATAACTCTGCAGCCTTCCCTTGTAGCTGAGAGAGCCCTGAATTCTTGCAAATCCAGATTCGAGTGTCTCTAGCAGAACACATACAGAGGTTGATGCTTGCTTGAAGATACTGGTATTATTGACTCGCCCAAAATCAAATAACGACCCTGTGACATAGACAGAGATAAAATCTAGTTTGCAAAGCTCACATTCAAATTCCTTAACTATGAGATCGCCCTTTCTATTACTTTAGTCCCTGGCTGTGTCTACCAAACACCTCCTGCAGCTGATGAGGTTGCAGAAATCATACAGGCAGCAGTGTCCTTCAGCACAGAAATCTGACTGATGGCCGGGATACCACTGATTCATTGAAATTAGAGACACTTTGGAAAAAAATATATGTGATAGTATATCAGAAGATTGGTAACGTGGTAACAATATGTTCTCAGAAGGGACTGAGTTATTGGGATACCTATCATTGAATACTTCTTTTTTTTTTTTTTTTTGTTCATTTTTTAGTACTCTGTTTTGCAACTTCATGTTCTTTTGATGTGGGAGGACTGACTGTTTTTGGAGTAATATTCTATAGATGCACATTCTATAGCATTAGTATATGGTAAGATTTTCTGATGCTTAAACTACTGAAATGAGGATATTTTTAATTTGTCATATTTGAAAGTGCTGCTTTGGTCATAAGAAGCTATACCTGATGTTGAAAGCTAGTGAAATATAGCCAGGAGGAAACTTCTGCTTAGAAAGTATCAGAGGTCATAAACTTCATTTTTAGAATAACAGAAAGATGAAAAGAGAGGAAGTCTAAGGAGGTCTGTATTCACACAAATAAAAGTACTTGAGAAGTTTTATTATGGCAGAAAATTATGAGATCCAAAAAAGCTGATCAAGAGATTTGGTAATTGTGGTGGTTTGTATATTAGTAACAGATGCATAATTCTGGTAACCAGTCCAAAGACCAGATACATTGTATGTCTCTCAAAACCACATTTTTTTTTTCCACGAGTACCACACATACCACATGTCAAGTTATTTATCAGGCTTCTGTTGTGTCTGCTAGAAGATTACTGTTAATATCTATTCCATAAATTTTGAGCTTTGTTGACCAAGCGCAATAAGGAGCACATCAGTCTCTAGTTGTTGCTGAGCAAAATAGATTATTTTCCACACGATGATCTCTGAGAAGTAATTCACTTATATATTATAGAGATTACATACAAGCAATGCTCCAGTGGAAAGAATACATCAAGGAGATTTTTTAGTTCCCAAATACTGATCTGGAGAAAAATAATTGGACAGAATGGGCCCACTATTCTTTTTGTTTATTACTGTCTCAGTCTGTTGCATTTTACTGCTTGCTACATAAAATGCAAACCGATTAAAAATAAACTCAGAAAGACTTACACTCTGGAGTGTAGCTCAGCTCAGCTCCCACTTACTGAATCTTAGAGATGAATGACCTCAGTGTTGTCATGTATTGCTTTTATGTTCCTCAGCATTGATAACTAAGCAAGGAAGATTCTTCATCAAGTTGTTTTCTAGTCATTCTTTAGTATTGTGCTGTGTGGTAAGTTTCTCCATTCAAGAAATTGAATGTCCTCCAGAACAGTTTGTACTTAAATTTCACTGGTTTTCTAAATTTTAATGTGGTAGGTTTGTTTCATTGTTTTCTTGGGACCACCAGGTAATTAGTGTTTCCAGATACTCTATTGTATATTTTCATTTTGTTTATATCTCCATTCCACATGTAATTTCATATTCAAAAACATGCCACCAATGTCAGCCGGAGAGAAATATCTAAATTCCTACTTTTTTTTAAGGATAAATATGTAGTACTCTTCATTAAGGATTTTTTTACAGCCTTTTACAGCTTCCATTTTTATTTTTTTTACTGTCAACACTTAAATTGAAATTTCTAAATTACTTCAGTAAAATTTTCTACATCTTTTGGTTTTTTTGAGTTGTGACCACAAGTAAGTAAGACCAGCAGTTAATAATGTTTTACTTTTTCCTTTCAGTGCCCCATATGTGTAGTATTGTTGAGCATCGCTGTGATCACTTCTGCATAAACACCCCTGGCTCCTATGTATGCAGATGCAAACAAGGATACATTCTGAATGCTGACCAGAAGACTTGCAGCAGTATGTTATCTCTCTTAACGTTTCTCTTTCATGCTCCCCAAAAGTGCTTAACATCACATACTCTTTTTCTTGGGCTCATAAAGAAGGATGGAGCTCAGTATGTAATTAATGGTACTCATCAGAGAGAGTCTGAAGAGGTGAAGTTGTAATTCTCTTTCTTGTTTTGTGTAAATGAAGTTCTTATAGTTCTTATTTCTTTCTGAAATAGATCAATCTCACTTTTATACACAGCTCTGCAGGTGTAAACCATGACTGCATAAAATTGCATTTGAATTTTATTGGTGTTAATAAGTTCAACAATGAAGCAACAAAGAAAGAACTGTTTTATCTCACACGAAGTAAATCCAACTACTTTTGTAACTTGTCTCAATAGCAACCAGTACTGAATAGTACAGACAGGTGCCATAAACCCCGTACTAGAGAACTGTGAGATAACTTGTCATTCTGAAAATCTCTTCCTAGCTGCTGGTTGAAGTAGAAGCGTTTGCAGCCGTTCAGAGAATAGGTTCAAAAGTCTTGCTTATGCTCTCATTTCCTTCTCTAAAAGGGTTGACTTTTTTCAGTTTGAAGTAATTGGTTTTATGGTTTATAATAACAAACTGTATTTTACTTTAATTGTGATCTTTGTAAGCAGTATTTCTTTTGTCCATTTTAACCTGCTTCCTAGTAATTAACAGCAGACTACATTAAATGAGTATGCCAAATTTATTTCTGTGTCCACCATTATTTTAAAGAAATTATGTAATACTATTTTTAATTACTTGTGGAATACGTACTTGATAAAAATGCAGTTTCTTATCCCACGACAGTGCATGGATTCAAGTGAAATTTGCCAAACTGATTTTAGCCAGAATAAATATTTTGGAAAACGTCTTTTCAAAAAGCTGGAGGAGACAGTCATGAGAGCATAGGATGTACCCCTCACAACTGGTAACTTAGAATTAAGGTGAAGGATGAAGGCTCAGATCCTATCCTTGTGTTTGAACTTGCATGTTTCATATCTCAGTAGAGTGCCATAAAACAATCAGGTAGCTTGGGATTAGAGGGTTCTTAGTCTCTCTTACTTAGTGTTGTATTTTATATCAAACACTTAATGCCCACTGTGTCAGTGTCTGAGGTGACCCTGCAGCTTGGGGATTAGAGTCCTTATATGTGCAGTGGGACACATGGTGTCAGTCAGAACCTCAGTAAACAGGAGTGGAAACAAAAGAATGTGAGCACCAAGTGATTTGGGCATTCTCACTGCTGTGTGGAAGCATCTTCAGACCCTTTGGGCTACAGCAGGAAACTGCTTTTGAGCTGTTCACCTCCTATGATGTCACACACAGGATGAGTTACTTTTAGGAATCTCTGTTTTCCAGTCCTTCTCACCAGCATCCTGCACCAAATGGAGAGATTCGTCATATGGATGTGTGTGAATTTTAGGGGAATTTTTTGTGTTAAATGGAACTAATTGAACACTTTATTCGTGTTTTGTTTCCTCAAGAAGAAGCAAAAAAAAATCAATTCAGTCTGGAATATTTCTTAATTATTATTTGTTTTAGCAGCTGAGCTAAGACAAGAATAGTGATAAGAACAATTTTTCACACAGCCTATTTTCTCTGCTTCTGCATATTTGCTATAGCTCTTCAGAAAGAGGGTGGTCAGAATCCCAAATGATGGCCCCCAACTGTGTAATCACGTATCAATAATATTATCTGACCTCTTCTTTTCATTGTGTACCTCTTAAAATGCTTCTCATTTAAAACTTCTGTGTCCTTTAAACCCTTCTTTTAAACCCTCCTCATGCTATTAATTTTCTTTTAAAAAATTTAAGAAAGAATTTTTTTGCTTTCAATTTTCTGGAAATTATTTAAAATTCAAAATTTCTCTTTTTTTAAATTTCCTCTCACACATTTTCCCTATCCTCACCCCTAACATCAATTTTGACAATTGATTTTTTTTGTGAGTCAATTAAAAAAAATTGAATTACAAGTATGAAAAATGTTTTCTTTATTGTGTCTTACTTTTTTTTATTGTGTTATATTTCCATAGCATTTATCAGCCAGTAGTTCAGCTTTGGGGCACAGCACTGCAGTCCTTCAAATTACAGATTAATTTCCAGGATAATTTTGGAATTGTATGTTTTCCTACTGGTGACCCATGCACAGTAGCCCTCAGTATGTTCCCTCTCGACCATTTGTTGAAACCCATTGCTGCATTGCTTTACTTTTTTTTAGCGATGACTCAGTCTTACAGTAGTTTTCCCCACTTACCTGTCACGCGTGATTTGCTTGACTGCATACTTGCTTTGATCATCGATCAGATGATACTGCGTTGCAGTTTGCTAAATATGAAAGGGAAATGAGTCATTCAATGTGTTTGTAGTCTACTTCTAATGAATTTTTTGTACATCATCACTCTAAACTAATTTTAGCAATTATCACTGGAAATCTAATATTGAGAGCCATCAAACTGGCCTTATGTGCTAGGATGGTGCAAATCTTTGGTGAAGGAGGGAGATTACGCAGTAGCAATCTAGACAAGGTCAGACCGTTAGGTCTAAAAACTCGCCAGAGAAGTAACAGAATTCATGAGGAAAGGGGACCAAGCCTGGACAAACTGGACAGCTTATTTCTGGAGGTTGGGGAAGAATGGCAATGGAAAAACCCACAGTCTGTGACCATTTTAGTTACCTTCATTGGCTGCTGGTTGTCCGCCAGTGCACAGAGACAACATGTTCCTCACTTGGCCTCTAAGTAAAATAAATCTTCATCATGTTTATGTTTAGTGCAATACATGATCAACATAAACCAGATGTATTTACCTGAGGTTTGGATGTATTTGTCAGCTCTTTCATGAACAAATAGCTTCTTTACATGTGTATTTTAACACTTTCTAATTTAAACAATGCAGAAAAGGTGAATGGTATGTACCTAAATTTATACTCTCTTTTCATTCTTCTGTAACAAAAGTTATACTCCTTTTTTTATTCTTCTGTTCCCTTTTTTTTATGTTGTGAGATTATACCATATCAGTACTCAGTTCTTAAAAGCTCTTAACTGAATGGATTCAATCAGCATTAAATTTATAACTTTGCTTCAGGCTGGAAAGGGGTGCATTCCTCTGGAATTATAGTTTTGTTCCTTGATACATTTTATTCTAACATTATTTCTAAAAAAAATATTTCCTTGCATTAAAGGAAGAAAATCTACAATACTTGTGATTTGCAAAGGATGCTCCTTTCACATGATCTAGTCTAACTTTTCCAGAGAAAGCGTGGTTGTGTCAGATAATGGCTATTCTCTACTCATTACACTGTATTTGTTTGTTTATCTTAATCTTTTCCCTTCTTCTCTTGACATGTTCAGATCTTACATGAATACACAAAATGTTACAAAAGAGGAAATGTAGCTGAAGCAAGCTGGAAAATTATCTATTTGTGCATGTTTATATTGGAACAAGAGAGTTAAACGACTTCTTATGCTGTTCATCATGCTGCTTGATATGAAGCAGACAGCTATAAAAGAAAATTTGTATTTGCTTGGCTACTTTTCTCAAACATTTTCCAAAAGCCTTTTTTCGTAGCTGTAAAAGATCGTTATGTGTTGAGCAGTCTTTGAGCCTGATCCTGAGCAACACAACATACTCTGCTTTCTAGAGATTTTACTGGGGAAACCTGAGGTTCTCGGAAACCTTTAGTCTATGGAAAAGAAAGCCCAATATGCTTCATTTGGCCAGGTGCTGAACTGACCGTATTTGTCATAGTAATTTTTCTAATGAGGTCTTTTGCTTGGGAGGGGTAACTTGCTATGATATTTTGCACAAAACTGAAAAATTATGAAACTCAGAAATGGAATATCCCCAGGTCTGTTGGTGTTGTGTTTTCCTTTTCTTTCTCTTTCCAAACTCATCACAGTTTATTTGGGAGAGTTGTGACACAAATAAACACTTTTTTTTTTCCCCAAGAAAACTGAAGAATGCCCCCTTCAAACTTTTTAGAGAAACATACAGTGAAGCAACTCTACTAGGCACCATTGGCCCATCAATAGTCGTTGCCTTCAGCTGAAGCAGTGAGCTCCTTAGCTGCGAATGATTGTTCCTGCTGGCATTAGACTTTCACTGTTTGACAGAACATTGGCATGATCAGTGTCAAAATGACCTAATCCCTAAAGAGTTATTCATAGGTTCCTGGAATTTATTTTTGATTTGTAGTCTACCTGTGCATTACAGAAGGTCAAAGAATTTCATATTCATGCAATTATGTTTTGTAGCTCAGGACCTTTGTGCTGTGGAGAAACATGCCTGTGAGCAGATTTGTGTGAACACACCTGGGTCTTACGTCTGTCAGTGTTATGAAGGGTATGAGCTTGATGCAAATGGGAAGAATTGTGTTGGTGAGTATGAGTTAAGCAATTCACATTTATCTCTTGACACAAACCAAAGGGAAATTCAATGTAAATTAATATCCAGTTTAGCAACAGACAATGATGGGGAGCTCTTTTTTCCTGTATGAGTGGTGGATAAGGAAGAATACATATTGACACATATGAATGGTGACTTGGGGAGATTGTTCCAACTAATTTCACACAGAAGGTAACATTGCTGTTTTGAAACAACACACCAGATGTTTTATTCTAGATCCATCGCCAGCAATGTACTGGCATGATATATGTGTCTCTTCAAAAATGAAGCCAGACAACCTTGGTAGCTCCTCTTCATTAGACATGGAAAAACTTGGAAGTGGACAATTTCTTGCCATTTCTCACTTGGTTTTATGGTCATGCCAGGAGAGATTTCAAACTCTTTTTGGAAAGATGACTTTAAGGAAAGTTTAGCTCCCTTTAAGAACCCATATGCCTTTGATTCTTGCCTTGGGCAGTAAAGAAGCAAACATCAGCTCTAAGAATTACAGCTCAAAAGAGTGAGTGTGTTAATAAAGTATAATGATTTTTTAAGATAAAACATACTTCCCTCTCTATTACTATTTAAGTATCTTACTCTTCTTCCCCATTTATACACAGTAAATACTTTTAGGATAATCTTTTTCACTAGGCTATTAGCATTCTTGTAAACTTTTCATCCCATGCTACATTTTGGGAAAATACTGTCTTCTGGTATCCACCACAAAAAAACCCTAGTGAGTCCTTGAAAAAAATCACCTTATTTGTTAGGTATTCTCTTCAGGCAAGCAGTTAAATGCATGCTTAATTTCAATCACATGCTGAAATCCTATGGAAGTGAATCCAAGTGAATCCTTGGCCCCAAATCTGCCAGAGGCCACCACAATGCTTTTGTCCAATAGCTTACTCTTTCTTGTAATTTTAAACAACCCTAACATGATATAATCTGTCTCTTATTACCTTCACAGAGCTATTACCTTGCAGGATAATCCTATTTTGAGATGCAAAATAGAAGACAGTTTATGGAACTGAGCTTTCTGCACATATTTTCACATGGGACACACATGTGAGGTTTTGAGGTTTTTTAGAACTAGGATAACATATGCGACTTTGAAGAATATGCACTCTGTATTTACTCTTCAGAAATGTTTCCCTTACTTGTAGCTTCGTGATCTCAGTATAGAAGTGTTGAAATTTCTCAACATAATTTATCCCTAGCTTAATTTGGCCACTAAAATACCATTTTAAGAACCTGCTCTCTGAAGTGGAGTTGATTTGAAATTACAGCTAATGATGGCTATTTAGGCTAGAAGACCTCTTAGATGTTCTGGCCCAAATTTCTACATCTAACACTCCACAGAAGTTCATCCAATAACCTTAGCTAGTCCTCATGACCTTTATCTGTGTTAGGATAACCCATATATTTCTGTGCTATTTGTTTGACTGTATCCTGAGACAGAAAATCCATTACTTCTGTTGGTAGGTTCTTTCATCCCCAGTTCTTTCATACCATATATTCTAATCTGAAATATTCATGCTTAGTGTCATCAGCTGTTGTTACTATTTTCTCTCTATTAAGTTGAAAGGTCCTTTACAGCCCAAGATATTCTCAGCTGGAAGATAGCTACCGTAATATCGTAGGGATAAAAATAAATTTTGGTGAAATTTTTTGTGTGTCAAACCTAAGATTATCCTCTATAATAAATACTAAGTCTCTTTTTCTTTTTAAAGCTTCAGAATATTTCCATGCCATTTATTACATTTCTTACAGTGACACTTGTTTTTTTCTTGTTAATCATTTCTCTGAAAAGTCTGAAGAGTGCTATTTGGAGCTGTGATACATGTTTAACATTTTTTTCTACCTCCTCACTGACTCTGTCATGGAGAGGTACAGGCCCATTATAATCTCTATTGATGACATTTGAAGCTTTCATATTCTCAGTTATTTTCAGTTATTTTCAAAATACAGTTCAGGCATGGGTTCACTATGGTATCTTGCATGTTATAGCTATCTTTCCTCTCCACTTGATTTCTATTCATTTATACCTGGTTTAGCAAGAAACATGAATTCATGCTGTTCATACCCCTGCAATAATTAGCAGTAGTAATTGTGATTTTAAAGCACTTCTGGTTTTCAATTTTCTTTTGCATTTATTTAACTTTTTCATTTCTTACTGATGCACATGAATGGTTCAATGTATATTACTTATGTTTTACCTGTGCAGAACTTAGCCTCTTTACATTTCCTGAACAGGAAAAGACTGTCTTTGTAATTTGCGGTTTTGATGCTATTTTTTCTGCAAATCCTGTTAGCTGTCAGTCTCTGGAATTTGACTTTTCTGAGTTTGAAATTTTTAAGGAATATGCTACTACCAAGAATGTACAGCTTCTGCAGGTGTGATCGCCAATGAATAATCATTCTTGCTGGAAAATCTTGTAAAGGAGACTAGGTAATTGTACTGAATCAGTAGTGATAACTCTCAGTTTTCATTACTCTTAAGCTAGTTAAACCATTCCTTTCTGTCAGGTATTTATTATCAAGTGAGCAGGATCAGAAGAAGGATCTTGGTGTACACATATACCAGAGACCACTGAGAACAACGACAGTTTTGTAAAAAGCAGTGACTTCATTAAGGTTACTCTCTCCTCTTCATCCAGAGAATAAGGAGAGAATTTCAGTAGGACACACATATCACTGTTCTCTCAAAGAGCCAAAGGTTTCTCTCTAAGATATCTAAGACTTCTAAAATTTTAACTCCAGTAAAAGTAAATAAGAAAGTGCAGAAAACTCATTTGACAGACAGGTTTATTATGTTCTCTTCCTCCTTTCTGATGGGTGAATTGATCTGGTTAAGAATCAAAGGCAGTGCTAATTGCTTTATTGACACATGTGTCAGCCAGTTACCTGAATGGTAATAATGAAATAAAATCTCACAACCAGCAGTTCACAATGTCTCTATTCAGAGTGACTGCCAGTCAGTCTGAGTGTTTGCAACACGCCGTTTATGAACAAATTTATTGACTAAACGATATTTGAAACTGTCTGCTCAGTGGTAAGTATGGCTGGCAGAGCACTATCACTTTGCCTTTTTAAAGAACTTTTCATGTTAGCTGCCATTAATGAATGCACACGAACAAAATCCTGTCAGTTAAAATTTGGTGGTAATGAGCCATTCTTTCTCCATCGTGCTGCTGGACACTCTGTCTGTCTTCTTGGTGTTGCTGGACATGCCGTCCTCTCTTTCCCGGCGCTGGTGCTAGGCTGGCTCTGTACTGCTGCAGCTGTTGGGCTTGGGACCTCTTCTGGCAGTGATTTGGCTGCTGGCACCTTTCTGCAGTCCTGGCACCACTAGATTTTTCTGGCTGCTTTCTAGGTTTTTACGAGTCTTCTATGAGTCTGCTTTACTATTCCCCTATGTTCTATTTCATCCTCCTTATACCTTTGCTTATTCTGTCACCTTCTTTTCCTACCCTTTTCTTCTACCCTTCTCCTTAACTTACTTCATTCTCTTAAGCCTGAATAACCTATGTAAACATCACAGGAGCAAAAAAGCAATACCAGAGAAAGGTGACCTGTGCTGTCCACAGTTCAGAGAGGGTAATGTGAGCACCCAGAATGCAGAACTGGTAACTGGAAGTAAAAGATGGCTCTCATCATTTACAAACTAATTCCAAGCAAGAAAAACAGGGTGGAACAAACATGGGGAGATGACAACGGAATTAATTGCTTTCTCAGTAAAAAGATCATTCATTCATCCTTTAGAAAAGTTTCTTATTGAAATAGGCATGCGCTAACATTAAAAACAGTGAGATCTCTTAAGTGTTCACATTCTAGTGTGTATCTCCTGACTCAGTACAGAAATATAAAAATAATAAAACAAAAAGAGGGAAATATTATTCTGCTTTGCTCTTATACAAACTGTGTATATTTTCTGCATACCAACTAAAGGATTAGAGTACTTCAATAGAAGAAATATAGATTTATAATTTTTCTCAGTCTTTTCAGGAAGACTTAACTCAATTCACTTACTTGCTGACTGTTATGCTGTTGACAAGTTTCCCTTCTAAGCCAGTACCACTGAAATGAAGCACAAAGCTAAAAGTGAAATTAATTTGTAGGTCAATTGCTAGTGCCAGTCTGCAAGGCGAAGCCTGCCTGGAACTGGGGCAATTTGTATACCAAAACTATTGAAATAAGGGAACAATATTTATCTCCAAAAGTAACTGTCAAGAGAATGTTCTCACTTCTTAATTGTGTTAGTGGAAAGGCATTATTTAAATTGGTAATGCTCATTATTCTTACGGGCCAACAGACCTACTTCTGTGAGTAAGAGGTCCCCAGAAGGCTATAAATGGAAAAAAGCAAGCCTGGAATAATTAGTTATTTCGTTGGGTTTTTTTTTCCTTTCTGTCCACAGTACATTAGCAGCTACATAGCTGTAAGAAGGCACAGTTCCTCCCTCAAGAGGTTGTCACCTGAAAGTGCTTAGGGTCATAGTTGCTCAGATGTTGATAATAAAGCATTCTAAGACCTGTTTAGTTTTCTCTCAAACAACAAAGCTGGTGAAGGGGCTGGAATGGATGTCCTATGAGGAGTGGCTAAGGACTCTAGGATTGTCTAGTTTCAGGAAAAGGAGGCTGAGGCATGATGTTATGGTTCTCTACGGCTTCCCGAGGAGGGGACGTGGAGAGGGAGCTGCTGATCTCTTCTCTTGGGATCCAGGGATAGGACACATGGGAATGGTTCAAAGCTCTACCAGGAAAGGTCTAGACTGGACATTAGGAAGCATTTCTGTACTAAGAGAGTGGTCAAACACTGGAACAGGCTTCCTAAAAGGTGATCAATGCCCCAAGCCTCTCAGTGTTTAAGATGCACGTGGTCAATGCCCTTAATAACACGCTTTAACTTTTGGTCATCCCTGAAGTGGTCAGGCAGTTGGATTAGATGATTGTTGTACGTCCCTTCCAACTGGAGCTATTCTATTCTGTTCTCAGCTTTGTAATCATTAGTTGGGCAGTTGCAGGTATTGTGGTGGAAACGCATTTCATTAGGGTTTAAATGCAGAGGAGGAGGCGACTCTGTGGAGCGATCCATATGGCCTGCTTCCCAGGTATGGTGCTAGATAGAAAAAAATTATGTATTCTTTGGCCTACTTATTTCTCAATGTGTCTTTTAAAATACTTGAAAATGTGCATGTGGTAAGAATTAATTTAAGAGGAAAGCTGACTAATTGTATGACACATTATATCCTTGAACTATATATTCAGTAAATACATTTTTATATGAAGCTATTCAGTCTGGAAACAGGAAGGCACTTGCCAGGAAAATGATCTCACTTAGTAGCCAGAAAGTAGGCTAATTTGACTTGATTCAACACAAACATTCTGAAGAGTTAAAAGAAACTCAGAGTAACTGAGTGGATTATCCACTTTCCTGACTAGATGACCCTGACTAAATATCTTAGCACACCTGAGTATGCACATGATTTGCAAAGGCAGGGCTATTGAAGAAGGAACTGATTTCATTAAAACAAATTACTGCCTCTTAAATCAGTTCAGGAGGCTCAGCAGTATAAAGTAATGAAAAAATTACCTAGCTGGCAAAGAAAGGGAATCTGTCTCCTCAAATGTCTGCGTGGAGCTGAGCACATTCCTATGTTCTGCAGAAAGAATCAGGTAAATTTGCCTAACGTGGACCTGGCAGCTCTTTGGGGACAGAACACCTGCTTTGTAACTTATCTTTAATTTCTTCTAAGAATGTCTTTGTGAAGAAAGACCATAACCTCTAAAGAAATAAAAAAAGAAAAATCATCTAACATCTTTAGCACTTTTGAATGGGCTTGACTGAGCAAACTCTAAAGTATTACCCTTTGGCAATCTATCTTGTAAATATGGGTTTGTGTAAGAAATGACCAGACTTATGAAGTCAGCGACTGGAGTAGCTATGATATTTTATTTCTCTCATATAAAAGGCATTATATAAGCAAAATATCAGTGGTGAATATCAGTCTGAAGTTCTCAGGCTTCGCAGCTGCTTTGTACAGGATGATTCTAGAGCACTTCTAGAGTTCTGTGACTGTCCTCAGTGTAGACGATATTGCTGTAAGTCTCCTATATACTCAGGCTGCAGGAGCAGCTCTTGAGAACTAAGGAGAAGTAGAGCAACTCCAGGAGTGAGACTGGAGAGACAGAAGACAGAACTAAATCAAACAAACTTTGCTACACCCTGGTCTACAGTGTGAACATCTGGACAGAGTTACTGACTGAGGCACGGTTTCCAGATCTGAGAAAACATGTTGAGAAGGCTCCTGACAATCTGAGGGTTGATAAATATTCAAAGGGTAGAAGAAATGATCCAGGACTCATATCAAATCTGATTTACCGACTGGTGTTGAAAGTGCACTACTTTTTGCAGAAAAGTTCTTCAGGACAGAAGTTATGTCAGCTTTTTTCTTTTTTTATAGCTACTATGTGTAACTAGTACCATAATATCTATGCATAATTGTTCTGGTTTTGTTTTTCTAATTGTACATGTTGGTCTTGCTCTTTTTCAGTTGTAGACTACTGTGCTTTGGATAACCAAGGTTGCCAACATGAATGTGTTAACACTGAGGACTCCTATTACTGTAGATGCCGCCCAGGGTTCATTTTAAATCCAGACAAAAGAACTTGCAGAAGTAAGTTGTGATAAGGTTTAACTCTGAACAGTTTGTACTTCTTCTGTCTTCCAATTCTCAGCAGTAATACTCCCACTGGTCCTGGGAACACTGGATAATGCGTCAGGAATAGGAAATGTTGGAGTATCCTGGAAGCCAAAGGTCTTGAAAACAATGCAAGTTGTTTTGGAGGTAGATTGGCTTTTGGGAGTAGGGGCTAAGGGTAGAGTTCACTCCTATGAACAGGAAGCTTTTAACATTAAACCGGGCTCCTTTTCAACAGTAAGAGCCCAAAGCTTTGTCTTGCATAGTCTCTTTGATTATCCAGATTTTTCAATTAGAATATCATCTCCCTAGCTAGGTAAACAAACAAGTCTGTACAAGACAATTTATAATCAGTTTGGTTTGTAAGACAAGCTAAAATTAAATAGGGTAGTTCTACAATCAGAGGAAAAATGGCAGCCTATTTTCCTATGGATTTTTCTTGACAATGAATTCTTTGATAGTGTGCCAAAGCTCTGGCAACATCAGTATCTTTTACCAAGCTTCCATGTTTCCACCAAGTTATAATAACTTCATGGCTTTGCTTATTTGTGGTTTGTCAAATTTGATCGATACCAGGCTAACAAGCTCAAAAATTACTGGAGATGGAGTGGATATAAAGTGGAGGGGAACTAATGGACTAGAAGGTGCTCTTCCAGTAATTGGGAAAACAAGCTAAAACCTCCACAGTGTTTAATGTCATAACTCACTTTTAGGAAATGTGAAGGGAAAACCTTTATGTACCTTCCTAGTAACTTTTCATCGTAAACATAGGTGAGAGCCTGACATTAAATGCAGCTCCCAAGCCAAGGGGCAGAGGCCACAGACAAGGCTTCTCACAGCTCTGTGCATCTCTGCCATGTTAACTGCCTTCTGTTTTGTTGTAAATGCTTTAATTTAGTTTAAAATTAAGGGAGAAAATTCCATCTGGTTGCAATTAGGGAAAAACCAAAGCGACTGGACATGGTAGGCCATAGAGATTGATTCAGAAGGAATAGTCAGGGAGGAGTGAACAAATACTATGTCAAATCATCTTATTTAAAGATGCATGTCCTGAGTCTAAGTATAAATAAAACTTACTAAGCCCCTTCTCCTTACACTCAGTATCTTCTGAGCCTTGCTAATAAAATAAAGAATGAATGAAAGAACTGTGTAGTTCTTCACGCTGCAAAAGTCAAGAGAAGATGAGAGCTTTTCAGAGGAAAAGTGTCCCCTAGCTCCCATTTGTTATGAATCATGCTGCCTTCGAGTCAATGTAAACAACATGAAGAAACAAACTTCAGATCTCTGGATTTAAAATGTTTGTAAATTTAAAGCCTTTAACATAAATTTCTACATATTTGGCTTCCATACTGTATCTTGGGGATGATCACCAGCTAGCAGAGACTCACACCCATGCCAGACCAGATCGCTGCATCAGCAAGCAGGAGATCTCGTGATTATCTCAGAATCCTGGCTTTCCTTTCAAAAATAGAAAGTAAGCTTTCATGCTCGTGGCTACAAAGAAAAGCTTGAAAATGTAAATGTTATCAGTACGGTCACGAATATCTGACAAATGTTTTCTGTGGGAATTACTCCAAACTTCTTAGAACAAAATACAAGGAGCATGGCTCGTGAGGGCAGCCCTAACAGCAGCAGAGTACTCTGTGTGCGCTGGAAGAGAGCAGCAAATTCCCATTGTCAGTGAGGCAGGGAGAGGTTTTATTACCAAGGGGACGTTTGCCCCTCTTGCTGCTCCCCTCAAGAGGATAGATGCTAGCTTCTGCTTGTCCTTAAGGGTGCTGAGCCTCAGCTGCTGTTCTTTAGGGGAGGCCCCTGTTTGAGTTGTGGGTGGGCTCACATGAGCTGTAGCTGGTAGAGACCTCGTGTTAGCATCCTTAATCTGCACTGTGTTAATGAAACCCTGTGAAATCTGGTTTTAGTGTTCCCAACATAAGAGCCTCAAGGTTCTCAGCAAAGATAATAACACATATTTTTCAACTCTTGTGGTCATTTTCAGAATCGGTTAAAAAGGAGAAGTCTGTTCTGCACACTTCAGTTAGCAAGGGTTTGAGCAAGTAAATTCAGCACAGCAGTGAATAGGTCCAGAAGGCATACAGCTATATTCCTCTGGTGCACACACGTAGCTTTATGGCTTTTGTCTCTTCAGTGCACTCTTGAACAAATAATATTTTTTAAATTTTTTTTAGTAAACAGATAAGATATCCCTGTGTTACGTGTGTGTGTGTGCATATGCTGTCATAAAAAGCTTTGGTGAAGGAAATGTTCTATAAATATATGGAGTTCATAAATTATAAAATACTTCTCTCAGGTGTTCTTAGAAAGTCACATTCCACTTTATTTGTCCTGGAAATATTGGTGGTTTATTATTGCTAAGGGCTTTCCTTATAGATAAAGGCTCAATTGCATTAGCCCACCACACATACAAGAGAAGAACAGTTCCTGCCTCAGGAAGCCAATTGCCTCTGGGAATAATAATTAACCTCTGAATATCAGCTTTCATGTTGTGTAATGAGGTGTTCAAAAGTGCCTGGATGTCTTTAAAAGTGTGACTTGTTTATCTACTTTTAGCAGTGCTGAGGGATTAAGACCATTCTTTCACTAGTATGAATTAATTAACTTCACTGATAGAAAGCTAAGTCATGGCCAGAGACTACATCGAAGTGAACATCAGGTTCTTTGGCTTCATCAGTGGTGGTAAACACGATGTGGTCAATATCCCAGTGCTTACTGCACAGTTACTTTCCTTTTTAAGGTACTTTATACACAAGTAGTGGCTGTTTCTAGACTTCGCTCCTCTTCCTTTCCGTAATCATTTTGAATGGAAGAACGATGCAGCAAACACCCAGAGCTGCTAAAACACGAATGCTCCTGAGGACCTGATTGTCCTGCTTTGATCTAATGAATGGCATTCAAAAGCATGTTTGTGTATTTATTACAGATCATCTCTAACTTGCTCTGAGTAAAATAAAGAGGCAATTTTGATGAGGCAATGTGTAGGGCTTAGCTGCAAGATGTTAAATATTTAAGATTCTAACTTCTGTACTGCATGGTGTACATAGGTTCTTGAAGAATTCATAAAGTGTACCTATCAGGTATACCTAAGTATAGCAGATATTTGGAAAAAAGGAACTTTTTATTTTCATAGTTTGAAACAATATGGTAAAAAGTCAGAATGATGCCTAGGGAAAAAATAAAATAAATCTAAAGAAAAGAAAACAAAGTAACTGGTTTTTACACAGGGTAATTATGTGCCTCACTGACACAACTTTTTCCCATTTAGGACCAGACTATTGTGCTATTCAGGACCACGGCTGTGAACAGGAATGTGTTAATACAGATGATTCCTATTTTTGTCAGTGCCAAGAAGGGTTTAGACTTAATCCAGATAAGAAAACATGCACAAGTGAGTAATCCTTTGGACACAATAAAGTTCATCTGCTTTTATTTCTTAAACCTGCTGTGAATGGTTTCCTTTCTGAAAGGGTGAAAGCTTTCTCTGTAATTAAGGTTGAAACAAATGTTTCTTTATAAACTTGAATTTTAACTGAGCCAGTTATGTTGGAATAATATACTGTTTGGGGTTTTGTAGCCTAGATTGTATATTAGACGTTTTCTGAAGAGATTTATGGAAAGCTGAGAAGTAGTATAGGAACCAGAGTGGCTCAAACCCAGTAAGTCCATTACTTCTTTGAAACTTTCTGACCTTGCCTTGTAGTGACACAAACAGCTTTAAAAAACAACAACAACAAAAAAATCACCTGGCTTTGTCCAGTTGGTTTAGCCAGGGACAGATATATTTCATTAACTTGGGAAAGAACTGGATGGGTAACGGAGCTAAACCCCCACAGTTTGTAAAAAAAATAAATGTAAAAACAGCCTCAGCGATGTCACGGTTCTATACCAATCTCACATACTATTTACTTCAAAAAGACTTTCGTGTTACAGCTCTTCTTGGGTGGGGACCTGGAATCACAGCCAATTTTCAATGTAATATTGTTGAAGTTTAAGGAGAATATATTCAGCAAAATGAATTAGCCTGATCTGGTGACTCAGTTCTTGGGGGGAAGAATTGTACCGCGGATATTTTATGAATAAGAAGCTTGTCTAGAGCAACATAATTCTATTTCTAGATTCTCATAAAATTTATCTGGGTTTGGAACTGTATTTGATTTCAGTCTTAAAGATGCATTTTCATGAAGCATCTTTGCCTACACAGTGCCGTTTTTACAGCAACCCATGCTATTCAGGCTTTTACTATTTATACGGTATTTTAAGTCATTCAAGTTTTTATAGATTGGATGTGCTCTGGTGAGTATAGGAGCAAAAGAACATCATTGTATAGAATATTTATTGCCAAGGATGTAATTGCAAATTAAAGGCAAATTGTAATTCCCATTTGGGATATTTTTCCTTAACCTTCGGAGGCTTTGGACTTGGCTGTAAACCTAGTGATGTTTCCAGGATTAAGTCCTATTCCAGATCTTGTTATAATAAGGCTCATACTAGATCAGCTTGTAAAATAAAGCAGAAAATTTGCATATGTGGCACATATGTGGCACTCTTTATAAATAAAATCAGGGAGAAGGCGTCACTGGTGAGTAGCACCATGCATTCCTCCTTCGCCACGATGCATGACTTCTGACGGCTACAGGAGCAGGTCTACGGGAGTCAAAGTCCTGCGTAGCTCAGTGTTTGCAATCCGCTCTCAGATCCTCAGCTCACTATCAGCTTTAACAGGTGTCAGAAGCACAGAATCCATTATTGTTTAAGATAAGTGAGTTTTTCTAATCCATTTTACTTCAGAAACCCTCATGGCTGGCTTGAATTCTTCAGTGTTATTCTCTCCACAGGAGTAAACTTCTGTGCTTGAGGTTAGCATGAGTGTATTAACATGGAAGAGTCATTTATGTGCAGATGTCATCCTGGATACACCCAGTGCCACGATGGCAATACGTGCAGAAACACGTGTGTCTCATGAACTGCACCACTGCTTACTGCAGTGGGGCGAGGTGTGAACGGAATGAGAAAACACTCCTGGGTCCCTTTTGAGATCTTTCTGAGCTGTGCAAACATATGTTCCTGTGAAGCCCACCACAAGCCAGGCCCAGTGAAGTAATGCTATAGATCCCTGATCCAATAGAGAACTAAAGCATCATCTTCTCTAATCCAACTAACTGGGAAAATGTGTTCAGCCAAGGTGTCTAACACAGAGGCAGTGCTTGCTATTGAATATCTGTATCATTTCTACGGGCTATGTAAACTGCAGCAAACCTGACAGTGATACATGCTGATATGTATATTTCCAGTGATCTGGTTGACAAAATGTCCTCTTTAAATTGAAGGATCAGTGTTGCACCAGAAAAACCCAACAATATTGCCCACTTGACATCAGCCAGTTTTTAGAAGATACTTTTATTGCAGTGAACCATTTTGCACATCATCGAAAATATTGGCAGCACTTTTCCCTGATGTACTTATGACGTATCTTTCCAAAGGAAAGTCACTGAAATTAAAAAAACGTTGATAAGCCAGGGAGTAATTATTTTTAAATAAGCTGTTTGTGATTGATAAAGTTGTATTTAAGGAAACTTGGATGTGTTTCAAGACCTCAGAACTTTTTAACAGTTATGGTTGTAGGCTATCACAAGTTGAATATCTAAAAATCAATATATCCTGTCCCTTCCTCTTCTTACTTTTTTTTTTTTTACACATGTAATGAAGCAAACATGATGACCAAGTTTACAGTTATACTAATTTCTAAAGCCTGGTAATTAGCAGCTTTGTGATTACTCTGCCCTTTGAAAGAGCATGAGAACCCAACGTATTTAAATGTTAAAATTCACGTTAGCATGTGTGTGTTGTATGGTAAAAGACAGTGCCAAACAGATGCAATTTTTCACAGAGAATACTGGGGGGGGTGGGGGTATTTTCTTTTTCTTTTCCACATTTTTTGTGTGCTCTTAGAAGTTACACAAGCCTCTTCATGATGATGTAAATCCTTGGAAAAAGGAGAAAGTTCCAACTGGAACTTGCTTTAGCTAGTAAAAACTGACACCTCAGCTTCACTTGTTCTAGCCAACGTTATCTCAGTCTATGTATGATGGTAAATCTGGACCTTACTGCAGACTCACTGCTTAGTTAAATAAACTAATAAACAACAATATTTAGAACTAAGTAATTTTACATGAAGCACAGACCATTTTTTTATGTAAACAAATAGCTGCAGACATGCCTGTTCACATCTGCAAATGATTTGCAAACAGAGACATATGAGACTGTGTTTGTGTCTGAGGGAACTCCGCTACTTTTGATCACGTTAAGCTAAAGTGATTTGGGCCTATAGAACTAAAAATAGCCATTAACAAGTTGGCAATAAAATATTATGAGGAAGTTCAGTAAAAAGCTTTTTTCCTAACATGTGCTTTTGCTATACTTGCAGAGTCAGGAGGTTCCACAGTACATCTGGAAGTGCACGTATCTCACCCCACTGCTTTGCTCTCCATTCTATGAGACAATATTTTTAAACCCAGCTCACACCTCTCTCTCCCTTCCCCCACCCTTCATCTATCACACAACCAGTTGCATACAAGACTGAAAAAAAAATAATCCATTTTGTCTTACTTGGAATAGGAAAATCAGAGAAAAAGAACATATTAAGAGACTCTCAGACTGATAATTTGTATTTGTCCCCCTCTAGGCTTTAACTGCTTGAAGCTGTTGGCAGGTTAAAATTTTAAATTCTCATCCTGTTGAAAAAGATTTTACTCTTTATGGAATAATCTGAAAGCCATTATTTGTATTTAAAGAGTTACTAATATTCGTACTTTGTTTTATGGTGAACAAAAGAGAGAGGCTTGCTTTCTAAAGAAAGAAAGTAAGTATGATTCTGCGGGCAAGACCAGAAGGAACTTCAAGGTTCTCCCTTCACTCTGTGTTATTTTCCATTTGTGATTTTTGTCAAGGGAGATCCGCCCTTCATCAAGTTTGTTATCTCTCACGTGGGGTTGTCGTATTAATTTCACTTAGGTGTTATTAATTAATTCGGGTTACTCAAATAGGTGGGGATACGTCATAAATAAAAAGCTGTACTGATCTTTTTCCCTTCTTCTGCAAAGGCATCGTGTACTAACCACAGTGTCATAGTGTATTATCTACAGCTCCAATTTGATTTCTTCAATTATTAACACCAATCAATAGGAGTGGACCACTGCGCTGAGAGCAATCATGGCTGCGAGCAACTGTGCCTAAATACCGAGGCCTCCTATGTCTGTCAGTGCTCTGAAGGGTTTGTCATCAATGAGGACCTAAAAACCTGCACACGTAAGTCTTGTGAGAACCTCCTTGATCTCGGCTCACCTGGGAAAGGTTTCGATTTTGATACAGGGAAACGGACACCCCTTCAATTTATTCGTACTGTCTGCATTTTGATAATACTTTAATAATTATTTGAAAGCAGAAACAGACAGAAAAATTACTTGGGAAAGGGTACTTGTCAAGATAACTGTAAATCCTCACGTATTCAGAAAAGTTTTGGAAGATCTGTTCATCCCTGACTGACAGGGATTTTGCCTGTTGACTTTTCCTGGAGCTCTTTGATGAGAAGGTTTTGGCCACTTTTTCTACAGATTATAGAGGAACATTATTTTTCAAGCTTGTTGAGTGTTGGAGTAGCTCTGGGGTTTGCTGCTTTTCTTGCACTCAGGCAACACAGCTTTAACAGAAGTCAAACCATAAATGTTCAGTCAAAAATTATCTAGGGAGAAGTGAGGCAAATCAGCAAAGGCAATTTGTCTTTAGCCTTGTCTTTGCCTCCAGACTAACCTTTTTAGCCCCATCCAACACCTTGAAAGACTTTGCTTCTGTCTGCCACTGCAGCTCTGTAGAAAGAGGCAGAGGTAATGCAAAAGCAGAACTACTGATCTTTCGAGCTCCCTTCCAATCTCTAACATTCTGTGATTCTGTGATAGTACGTGTAACAGTGATAGTGCCTCCTAGAGACCGTTTATCTAGACGTTTATCTAAAAGAACCAATGGAAATTCAGAAACAGCCAAACTATGGATTTTTATCAACTTGCAAATGGAAAATCCATTTTCCTTTATAGTAAAAAGAGGTGAGTTTTGCACTCGAGTTGTTTTCCTCTAGGCTGTACTTAGAGACCTACCAGAAACATTAAAATGGTGCTGTGGCTTCTGGAATCCCTCTGTGCAAGGAAACTGAGCCCTTCTGAATAGCTCCTCTTCTTGCCAGCATACTCCTCTCCTCATATGTATTTAGGAAAGAGGTTTGTCCTATTCCTGAGCTCCACAAGAGTTGTTACAACCTCGTGGACATGCTTAGGCTATCACAAAAAGAGTTTTGGCACTTTGGGATGTCCTGAATGAACAGCTGAATGCATGGGGTTAGCATTTAACATATACCATTCATAAATGGAAAAATATCTGGGAATTACAATTCTGGTGTCATATACACAGGCACGAGTATCTTAAGACAGCTGTGGGAACACCTGAATAGCAAACAGATTTCTACTCTGACAACTAATTACAAAAAAAACCAGTGACAGTGTATATGTAGCCAATAGACAGTAGTGCTGCCTGCAGGATCCCAGGGGTCCTATGTCTCTGTATTATAGAGAAGAAATACTTAGGATATTTGAGATTAAAAATGGACCATATTTGATAGTACTTGTCATATCCAGTCCTTTGCAAAAGCTTGAATAGTCTAAGCCAAAGCCCACAGAGGTCCCTGAGAGGTTTTCTGCTTGCTGGGTCAGGCACACAAGTGAGTTCTGGGAACTGCCCCCTTCCATCGGGACATTTAGAGGCTGTATTTAAAGAAGAATGTTCACAAGGTAGCTTTTGTGTCTTTGTCACGGTTTTATTTAAAATCATTGCTAAAGTGTTTTGTTATGTTGTTTGTTTTTTTTTTAAATTCAGTTTGTAAGTACTGAGAGGTGGACTCCATTCAGCTATGTTAAGCATAGGAAAGTATGATTTCTCAACTCTGCCTAAAGCAACCAATGGAAAGTACACCACAAGGTCTTCTTACATTTCGTTGAAGCTATACATACATTATCAGATAAGGAACTGGATTATTGTTTAAGCAGTTCAATGTATTTATATTTACTTGCTTGTATGCCATGCAAATACTAGAGATGAAGAATAATTGATTCATTATTTGTTAATTGTTTTAAATAATTTTAATTGCTCCTGCAGGAGTTGACTATTGTGCTCTGAGTGATCATGGCTGTGAACATTTGTGTGTAAATGGCGACAGATCTTATACTTGTCAGTGTTTCGAAGGATACAGGCTTCGTAATGATGGGAAAACATGTAAACGTAAGTTATGATTCAGCAACTCAGATTTTTGTAACACACATAGAAGAAATCTATAAGGTAGGATTTAATTGCCTAAATGTTGTTCTCCAATGTCATTTTAAATGCTCGAGAAGTTCGTAGTTTCCCTTTTGGTGTCATATTTGCTAGCAGTATGTCAATATCTTGGATATGCTAAGGCATCTAAAGTGGTAATGGATGCATACTTTTAGCACCTGAATCACACCCAAAATGTCTGTGCTGTTTAAAAAGTAGCCCTGAAACTGGGCTGCTGGGGATACAAAACTTTTATTCTGACTTACGTCCTTATGTGGGACAACTGTAATTTTCTCTTCAAATCAAGGCAAAAATATATAATGTTTCTAAAGTCCTATACAGCATGAAGCTTGCAATATTATTAATGGGAAGTTCATTTTATCCAGCGTGGATAAGGATGATTGCAAAGAGATATCATCATTTCATTACACATTTGACTACATGTACTGTGAGTGACTAGGGACTTCGGGCTTGTCTGATTTGGGAAAAAGGAGGCTGAGGGGCAACCCCATTGCTCTCAGCAGCTTCCTGAGGAGGGGATCTGGAGAGGGAGGTGCTGATCCTTTCTCCCTGGGATCCAGTGACAGGACACATGGGAATGGTTCACAGCTGTACCAGGGAAGGTCTAGACTGGACATTAGGAAGCATTTATTTCCCAGGAAGGTGGTCAAACACTGGAACAGGGTTCCTAGAGAGGTGGTCGATGCCCCAAGCCTGTCAGTGTTTAAAAGGCATTTGGATAAAGCCCTTAACAACATGCTTTAACTTTTGGT